CGCCAGACAAGCAGCCCGATCACAAGTGCGATGATGGCAGCGCCGATCACCACGGCGGCCACGACCCATTTCTTGCCCTTGTCTTTCTTCACCGGCTTGGGATCAGGTGTTGGAAGGAACTGGATGGAGGTCTCCCCGTCCGGGTCCTACAGGGAGAGAGGAAGCCTAGAACATCACCCACAGCTGGAAGTGATGGATGCAATGAATCGTATCCTAAGAGATAGAAGGGAGAATAAGAAGAGACCTGGAGGACCATGTCTGTCTGAGCTGGTGCACGTCGTTCCTCCAACAGAGGGGACAAAGATCACGGCAGAGCTCTCGAAAGAAACAACAGCAGCCATACATACCAGAAACCCCCTCGACATTCGCTCTGCAACTCTGAGAATGACTGTGCACTATGTGCAAGCCAAGCAGCACTGCGCACACCCACACGTGCAGTCCGCCCTCCTCCTTTCACAGGCACTAGCTGGAGAGAAACCTACACACTGTGCTACGCAAGATGTACTCAGTCATTGCTCATGGCAGACACAGAGGTAGAATCATTTATAAAAATAAAAATAAAAAAATAAATAAAAAAAGAGGTAACTGAGCAGTCCAAATATAGTGTATTGTCTACGTGTCAGAAAGCCTTTACTGAATACATTTTGGAAGCATATCACCACAGGGGGTTTTAAACAACCCTTATATTGCAAAGCCCAAGCCAGACCATTACCATTCATTCTTTGTCACTCCCTGCATCTGGTGATGGTTTGGTTCCCCAGGCTTTGCAAATATATTCAAAAATCAGCAAAACAAGACTGAGGCTCACAATTTGTCATTTTCCTTTGTGGAATCATTTATTTTTGACATTCCCAAAAAAGGTTTATTTGTGGCATTCTTCAGCACTAACAGACAGTCCTCAAAGCCATGGACTATGGACCTTCTTCAGGGGGGGATACATGCGAGAGCAAGCGGTCACCTCCTCCTGTCCTGTCACCTCCCCCGGTCAATCTGTCCATCTGCCTGTTTAAATGTGTCACCAGGCTTGGGTAGGCAGTTCAGCAACATGGGACTAAAAATGTACTTGCACGTAACTTTCAGTAAAAATCATTCCAAAACGGCAAAAAAAAACAAAAAGACAAAAAAAAACAAAAACTGTCCCATTGGTAATTCTCACGGACGAGATTTTTTCAGAAAAATGAACACAATTAATTACAACAATATTGTTTTGTGTAAAGAACAATGTCCATCAGTTTAACTTGATAGGCATAAAAAATTATGGCAAATATTGTTGCTTTAATTATATTATTTTTTTAACCATTCCTCCCAAAAAGGTATCAAGAAATCTCATTACTCAGTTTTTAGATGGGAAAAAAAAAAACACAAAAGTTTAAATCTTTCGTCTACATTGCATGCAAATCCACAATAAACAATTGAATTGTTTGAGACAATGTGTATTTATTACCAATTGTTAGTTTTATCATTTTTTCTAATTTTTATTTCATGTCCTGTTTCTGGCCCCCGTCCAGGCGGCTTTTCAATAATCGACGGTTTGTCCAGGTTTAATGCTGCAACCCGCATGACCTGGTGTTACAGGTTACAGTGGAGCGCCAAGTCAAGGAAAAGGCACCGACTTTCAATATACAGCAGCCAGTCAGTAACATCACACGACGTTTGCAAGGCTTGTGCACACATTTACTTTAAAAAACGACATGCACATCCCTACGTGCCACGCTGCTCACCAGTGACATCAACCTCTATTGGCACTTTGACACTTCCTTATTAGTAATATTCTTAAGAAAAGTACTACCTGATTGGCTGGTGAATGCTAAAATGCATTAATATTAGAGAAGTGCTACCTTATTGGTTAGCGAACTGATTAATATACCCGGACACGTCCTTGTTTACGTCTCACCAAATAGGTTAACCACAGTCATTGTTTCCTCTTTTTCATAACTCTTGCCCTGTATTTAATGAATTTTGTTTATTACAGATATAAATGTTAATATAGTAAAACTGTTTGACTGTACCAAAGGCAAAATTGACGTTTCATACAAAATTGTGCAATTTCAGTTTGTCTTCAAACCAAACCAATTTTAAAAATTAGAGAAAACTGCTGAATTTGTGAGACCTGGGTGAGTCTTACAAAACAACCAGCTTCCTAAATCAGATCTGATGTTTCTGGTACTGTCAAGCTGAACCCAGGTGGTCCTCTGTGGGACATGATGTTTTCTCTTGGCCTTTTTGGGGTGAGATTAGATCAGATCATGAACATATATCCACAAAAAAAGTGGCAGAACAGGAAAATTAGACTTCGGCTCACTTGGAGAAAGTGCCAGCTTCTCATCCACATAGCCAAAGGATCAGGCGAGGCTGGTGACGTCACAAAGATCACCTGGTTTGTAGTGTAGCACGCCTTGGTTACAGAGGCAGCATTCTGTGTGTATCACAGCTATTCAGGAAGTTACTCTGCTATGGGTCATGAAGCTCAGTGGTAGAAACTGGGCAAACAGGTTAGACAGTATTCACTGAGCACTTGGGCGCAAAAATCCCACACGGGCGAATAGAAACTAGTCGAGGCAAGACAGAGGAACCCGGAGATGATCACGTGATCAGATAAGAGTTCCTACAGCTTGCACTCTCCTAAAACCGCCCACTCCTCATTCTTAGACTCTGCCACCTTTCTAGGAAAACCGATGACCTGAATCTGCCCATGTCTCTAGTATAGTTGAACCCATAACAGTAAAATCAAGGTGAAACCCTGAACTTCACCCTTGGTAATTCCACAAGCCAACACAATTGACCTAGTCCTACTGTAAAAACAGAGACAAAACTTCCTGCTGCAGAAATCAACCCAAAGAGACGAAGCCCAACAACTGTATTCAGACAAGGAGTCAGGCAAGCTGCCCCACCCTCCAGCTCAGCGGCCGTACCCTCGGACCTGCGACAATGCCCCGCGACACCCTAAAGAGCAACACCCTATTGCGTGCATTCTGCACACACCGAGCAGCTGCGCAGCTTTAATGCGCAGGGATGTTTGTCAGAGACCAACCTCAAACATGTCCAAACATTGTCATGGCTTGACTTAAAAAAATAAATAGATTTATTTATTGGACATTTATTTATATAGATTTAGACCAAGAGGCCGAGGAGATTGTGAAACTCAGAAACCGGGCAGCGGCGTTCCCTGGGCAGGGAGGGGACTGCCTAGGGGTAACAACTGTAGCCTATAAATTACTCCGGTAAGGCTCCAGGCGATCAGGGGCCTTGACACTGAGTAAGGCTTCAATGTTGTGTGCTTCCAGTTAAGGACACGACTGTTGCTAATTTACAGAAATTGTCCTAAGCTGGAAAACCGGTTTCGGGGGTGTGGGGGGGGAAGCGGCTTGTAAATTAAGCACAGACCTATCATTGAATTGCACCAGGTACCAGAGATTCACCGCTTATTCACCAATGAAGACGCATCCTCTAGGAAGCCAGTGCAATAAAAAAATAATAAGAAGAAAATATAGAAGGAGGCAGACAGACAATAAGCTTAGGTTCCTTCGCACCAGAACCAAATGGTAAAATGTACTATCAGTATCATAACCAGAAAATGTCTTTCCATCTGCCTGATAATAGAAAGCGGTTTATAAGTAGCGTTTAAAACCTTATACAACTTTGACAAAATAGTACTTTTAACTAAATTTGTTCAAAATACTACTTTTGCCTTTTTTAAAAAAAAAAAAAGCCAAGCACATATACCCGAATAAGATGTATATTCGTGAGAGTCCTACCTGTGTGTTGTACCGCATTTTTCCATCTGAGCGCTCCATACTGCGCCAGGCGAAGGGCGTCCGCGCACCTTCTGCTGTATTTCAAGCGGTTTCCTACTTCCTACCCACTCCTGCTGGCCCCCGTTTGTTGCCGTTTGGTCTGTTTTGCTGGTATCTGTTACCCGTTCTTGTGGGTTCTCCTCCCGTTTTGTCCGGTATGCCCGC